TCCTTAACCATTTCGAGTCAAATTGAGTTGTATGGAGGTGTGATATGCATGTATCATATTTAAGGTGTGACCCTGTAATTTAGGAACTTTTGTACTTAAAATCAGATCTTTTGGACATTGTGGAGCTAACTCAATCTATCTGGCAGGCTCACTACATGCTGGGACTGGCCTTGCTACAAAAACAAGAATACACTGAAGGTGTCAAAGAATTGGAAAGAGTATGTGGTGATTTATTACTCCTCTGTTGTTTTCCCCTCGAATAATTAAGAGCTGTTATTTGTTGAGACATTTGAAATAAGCATATAATGTGATTAGCTTAAAATGTCAAATTGGCAATCTCTTCAGTGAATGAGAGGTATATTGGTATATATCGTGTTTCAAAACTTTTATGGATCTGATTGTTCCCTTGATTAACTTTTGACATTGCCGTACAAGTTTTTGAGGAAGAAATGGTCACCATTGTTTGGCTGATGTTTATTACGGTGCAATAATAATCTCTCTTGTTGTTTGGTCTATTGCGGTAAAAATAAGACATTTGATATATGCCGAATTATGTTGGCTAAGATTGGTTGATTTTAATGTAATCTATGACCCTTTCTGAAGAAAGAGGGAGGTGGAAAGTTTGCCCATTTCTTAGATCTGAGGAGAAAGTCGGTCTTTTAGCCCTGAGGCAAAAGCTGTGCATCCTGGAGAGCCTTAAATTGCACGAGATTTTCAGTGCTGTGATATAGCAAAACATACATGTGGAGAATACTTGTTAACATTTTTCAACCAAATGGACCCTTGACAGCTATATCTCTTGTGCAACATATATCTACTTGGTCTTTTTCTCATTTCTTTCTTTAGCTCTGACACCTTCGTTCTTTTCATGATGATTTTGATGCTGATTTTGGCTAATTTGAGTAAATCTCATCAGGCTTTGGATCTTGGAAGGGGTGCACATCCTAGGAGTTATATGGTAGAAGAAATTTGGCAGGAACTATCAAAAGCAAAATATTTGCAGTGGGAGCAGAAATCTACTAAGCGATCTTGGGAACTGCAAAGCTTGAAGTACGTAACTCTTATGCCCGCAGTTTCCACTGTATATGGTATAGATTTCGCTGGAAATATAACTGCTGTGAGTTCATTAAGAACTGCTGCTACTTATATTTGTTTCCGTTATGCCAGGGAAGCTTGTGAGATAGCTCTTAAAGAGAAATTTGCTCGCGACGCTTCCAAAACAGAAGGATTTTTGGATGAACTTGCCAAGTCTCATTTGGAACAGGTAAATGCCGTGGGACGAGTCTTCCAGAAAGCTGCAGAAGCTGACATGCCTGCTGAAGTAAGTGCCAGCTGCAATGTACTTTCTTTTTCTTTGTTTTACTTTGTAAATTCATGTCATTCCATGGAGGTGTTGGATACCTATTTCAGGTGCCGGATTATCTGTGTTGTAAAATTACCCTTGATTTATACCGTGATCCTGTCATCACACCCAGTGGGATAACATATGAGAGAGCAGTACTTCTTGAACATCTCAACAAGGTAATATTTCATTTAATATGATACAATCTTTTCCTGTATGGCACTGTGGATTGCTTGATTCTTGTTGTAATGTTAGGTCGGGAAATTTGATCCAACTACGCATGAGCGACTCGACCCTTCTCAGCTGGTACCAAACTTGGCCATTAAAGCAGCAGTTCAAGCATATCTAGACGAACATGGCTGGGCATTTAAAGGGGATTGATGACCAAAGTGTAGGACAGGATAAGAGGTAAGAGGCATTCGCAATGGAATAGAGCACAGCCAATTTATTTTCTATCCCGGAAGTGTCTCATTCTGTTGGTGCTGTTACTGCATACAAAATGTAAGTCCATTGTAGTATTGGTGGTGGGCCTGAAAATAGGAGTCTTCTCTGAATTGTACAGATTGGTATTTCTATGCGCATTGCATCACATAGTTGCATGTACAGCTGCTAGTCTTGGACCTTTTTCACAAGCGATGGTGTCTTCTGAGCCATTCAGCTTGTGAAAGATTTAGACTCAAGTTTCATCCTCTCTTGACAAACTCCTTAACTCAATTGATAGAGAAACATAATATATAGATTATGATCAAAGTGCATGCACGCTGCTTACACTTGAACTTATTATGTGATCATTTAAATTTTCAAGTATCTGATAGAGATGCGAATCGGTTGGGCCGTTGTGTCCCCGCACGCCTTAGTAGTTTTGTGGCTTTCTTATGTATCAGTTAAGAGCGGTGTCCAAGTCAGAGAGGGGGAAAATAAGGAAAAGTAACTAGATGAGCGCTTGTTATACTTCAGTCAGGAACAGTACTTTGATTAATAACCATGACCCTCCTAGTCCTAACCCACTATGTTCCTTTTTCTACATGATGGGTCAAGATCATCTCCAACAGATCATGTTCTACGTGGCGCAAAATTCATGGCTTGCTCCTTCCATGGAAGCATTGACGCGTATAATTGAGCCGAACACTTCCAAAAAGCCAGCACATTATCAACCATGCAGTCAATTAGAACAGTAACACAACATGAGCTATCTTCATATTTTCATATTGTCACATTACCAATTTCTGACTTCTTCCACCTTTGCGGGTCTGATCTTTATCCTGAAAAATCAATTAGTGCAGACACTGGTTGCTTTTCCTGTCCTAGGCAGTCCCTTCATGTTGAACACATGGTGGGCTCGCAGTGCTAGAATTTGATTATTATTTCACAAGAAAAAGTTAATGATTGGTGGGGATTGTAAGTTAATAATTTCAAGAAACTGTGACAGGAACATGGCATTGTTTTGGTTTCAAATTCATCTTCTCCTCTTCGTCGGTTTATTGCGATATGAAAAGGCGAGCCAACGACCTTTTTCCTTTTGTTTTCCCCGCAGGCTAGCTTGATTTTGAGAATACTAAGCGATTAATACATGTCGAACTTGTGTCGTCGTCTTTTGGTCAATCGCGAGACTCAAGCATAACAAACTATAGCCTTTCTTGTTTGTTTCTTTTGATCCGATCGTAAAGATATTTTGTCAGGATCTAAATCAAATGAATCTTCTCCCTATTTTTTTTTGTCGAAGATGTCTTCTTCGAACGAAAGTGGTAGGTAATAAGTAACGGCTGGGTTAGGTGATTTATTAATTTGGTAATTGCTCATCGATTAGATAATTTGCACCAACGTGAAGCCGACATTACCTCCTTCACAAAGATTGTATACCCTTGTACTTGACTTTCTTTATCTGTGATATGATACGGGGCGAATCATTTAATTGTTTCTCGACTCGAGCAATTAGTTTAATGATGTTGGAATCATGTTTGGGCGGGTCCATCGATTGACCTTTAAATATAGGAGGGAGTAGTTGGGTTTTATTCAAATGTATGCGTCGTCATATACACAGTTGAGTACCGATAGTGTGTCACCGTGGTTAATATGATCGCACCAATTTTACAAAGAGCAATAAGGAAAAGTTTAAATGATGTTATATCAATCAGTTGGCACTGTGCATCGAGACTGATGTACCACCAGAAATCTTTGAACTAAAGAAAATAGAAGTGCATCCGCATCTTCCTTCTCAAATTGTTCGGCTTCTCGACAGAAACTCTTCTCTCTCCATGTACACAGTTCCATCAGGAGAGACTTCATTCTAGATTTTCCAATCTTGCATGCAATCATCAAAGCACTTGTGACCATCTAAGCTGTCTATCGAATCGTTCGAACAGTTAAAGCAAAGGGTCGGAAACGAGGTCGTATACAAACGATCCGCATGTCATTTAGGCGCGTCTTCGCATATCAAAACATGAAATTCGATTTGTCCCTAGAAGGATAACTAAATCATCAATCATGCTACTCCATCCAAGGCTATGGTTCAATTCCAATTAGCCAAAATCTCAATCTGGGAGGTCAAATAATGCAAAACGCTACGCAACAGAGGACAAAACGGGACTCCAAGATTCCCCTAAATGTATAGATCTTACCTGAGAAGCTGAACTCTCTCGTCGACAGAGAATTTCTTGTGGAATGTGGGGCTGACAACTTGCAAAGATGCTTTCCTTGATGTGTCGTCACTAAGACCCCTTGACACCTTCTGGACGTCCATGTCAATCGTATAACCATAATTGAGCCAGACCACGAAGTCCGTGATTGAATTAAACCCATTCCTTTGTTTAATCAACCAAAGTGATCCATCGCTTTCGATGTTTTTGACCACACACACACTACACAGTAGTTGTCAATGGAGTCTTCGACACTACCTTGGGGAGAAAACCCCAAGCCCTTTTTTTTTCCCGGGACCTCCCTCGCATTCCTCCTGGGAGACGACATTCATCCAGAGTACAACAACAACCACGTACATGTCGAGATTCCATATGCTCGTAAAAGAGAGCCCGAGAAAAAGAAAATTATATTCTTGGGCTCAAAGAAAAGCAAAGGGATAAAGGAAGAAAATGGGAAAGACCCACCACCACCCAATCGCCCATTTACCTCTCTCCATAGGGCAAATTTCTAGTAGGCTCTGTCCATCGTTTCGCTCCAACAGAAGGCTAAGAGTTTTAACCGAGCATAAAGCGAAGCAAACGACGACAACGCCTTTAACAGTGCAAAGGTTGTAGGAATCAATGATGTGCTTGTTGTTGTCGCCGAAAGATTCAAAGAACACAGAGAGAGAGAGGGGTTTGGTTAGTCACACTGTAGAATTTGAAGACTTTCACGAAAAAGGGCACATACGGGCATCTTGAATTTGGACCACCACCCATCACACTCATCACGCTCGGGGTTACACCGAAACCACTCAACGTGCGTGGCACATTCCTCTTAGTTCCCATCTCCCACCGCCGTTCATTTATCCCCTTCCTCTCGGGACCGGCCCACCCATCGATTGATAAAGCTTTTGGCTTCATTTCCAGATGAAAAAACAATCTAGAGTTCACACTCTCCTCAAAAAGTTTAACCTGCAGTTACACTCCATCAAACAATTCCACATCTTCTTCAGAGAAAATGCCAAAGGGCAAGAATACGGTTGCACACGATCTGTTTGTTATCGAAGAAGAAGAGAAAGAGCCTCAAGAAAAGCAGCCAAATACGTCGTTCTTATTTAACAACAGACAAGAATGAGACCACAGCCCAAAGAACATTATTCACGCACTACTGGAGACAACCTGGAAAAAGATGGAAAGGCTATAGGGAATGACTCTCCTGACTGCAGGCATAAGCATCCAAAACTTACCCACACTGAAGCACTTGTACGGTGAAAGGGGGGGGGGGGGGGAAAAACTTGTAAAAATTATAAGCTCTCGTTATATGCACAGTAACTAACTCGAGACAGGAGTGAAGACTCTGGAGAAAGGAGAATTTACATTGTAGACACAGGACCAGATGGATTTCCTGGTGGCATAAGCAGCCGGTGTACTGCAAATAGGATGAGAATATACAAGCACTGCGTAGTAACTCGATTAAGCAGTGTGCGTAAGGTTGATGGCCCGGTTCAATCTCTCGAGGATCCCGTTGGCTTTCCTCTGAGCCCGGGAGGTTCCATTCTTTGCAAGGTCAGATACCGTTCTGTGTGAATTCTCCTCTTCCCTCAGTTCCTTCAGCTTGGTTCGATCACTGAAACATATAGTGTGGAGAATCGCGATGCAGTTCTCCTTGTTACGAGCACATGACGTCTCCCTCATAACCCCGAGCAAGCAAGGAACTGCTTCAAGCTCGCACATTTCCTCAATGGCCCTCTGATGGCTCGACAGCATCGCAAGTATAGCCAACAACTCATCTACATGAATACGGTTCGCAATCTTATCTAGAATCACACCAACCGTCCCATCCCGCACAGCTCTACCCCTATTCTCATGGATAATGCACAAGTTGAAGATAGCCGAAGCGACATCCGTCATGGCCAATGGGTGCCCCTCGTCTAAAAGATCAATGAGGAGCTTTAGGGCTCCTGATTTCCCGATTAGTGTCTTATTGGAATCGAGAGCAGAGAGAGTAAAAAGGGCTGCGGCAGCGTTGCTCCTTGTCTCAATTGTCCCTGATCTCAAAGCATCCATCAAAAGAGGGATGACCGATGGAATTTCAGCCACGACCTTCTTGTTATTGTCGTGGATGGAGAGATTCAAGAGTGTCGTTATGACGTCTTCTTGGAGATCAAGGTGCGTCCCATTTTGGGACTGCCTTTCGGAGAGTGGACTGAGCAACTGAGTGACGGCATCCGGTGACTCCCCAAAAAGCGCACGGAAGGAGGGCATCCTCTTGGTCAGCGATCTAAGCTCTTTTGCAGCTTCTTTTTGCTCAGATATATTGGACGACATCTTCTCCAGCAAATAAAGAAAACGATCTCGCTCAGATTCTGTAACGCTATCCTCGTCAATGCAGTGAACTGGTTCGGACAATTCGACCCCTCGACTCTTGCACCATCTCAGAATCAGTTCTCTAATCAGATGGTTTGGAGTAAGGATTGTATGCGAAAGAACCTGTTGGGTTTGTGGACACGTTCTGTTGCCCGCTTTTAGCCATTTCTGGATTGAAGGCCGATCATAAGTCTGCACAAGCAGAAGCAATCGAACAAATCAAGAACCAAAAGAATATGCATTATGAAGGTTGAGAAGAGGCCAGAACGACAGTATCAGATAGATCAATTCACTAGTGTACAAGCAACGGTAAAAACGGAAAATGCAAGAGCCAAGAACAAACGGTTCAGAAGAAGCCATCCGATCAACACGAGGGAATCAATTTAATTTGTTTGAGCCGGCCAAGTGGCTTGCCCATTGTCAGACATATTTCATACACCAACAATTGATGCTATTGGTTTCCCAGAATAGTGATCTTACGAGTCGGGCATTGTACCGCATTGTCCATCTTTATTTGTTTTCTTTTACCCGTCACATATATTAGCACATCCCATAAGATTAATCCAAAGTTAAAAGTAGCACAGAACAAAAACAACAAAAGGTGGGAAGATAACAAAGGAACACTTGAAAGTTCTTGTTGTGTCCAGTCAAACATCGTCAATTCATATTCCAAAACCAAAATAGCTGTGTAACGTCCATGGATCATCAATTTCACCGACCAGATAAAAACCGAGAATAAATTCTCCAACCGTTAAAGAAAAAGCCACCGACCAAAACAAAAAGGTGGTGGAATCTGCATTTGGTTCTGAGAAGCAACGTGAAACAGCAAGAAGAAGATAATTACACGCACTCGCCGCATTTAGTTCCAGATTATCGACCTCAACCGAGCAAAAGCTTAAATTTTGAGCACGATGATTCGATTTACAGGGCGGCGGCGAAGTACAGAACACATGGCGATCAGAAAGGGAAGGGATGATGAAGTTCCACTGAATTCTTCACGGGACTGGACGAGGAATCGCCAATTCCCCAGTCCTCCGAATCGAAACCTCCGCACAGCCTTCCTATCCTCAATTCACCACGCACAAAACAAGATTCAAGAAACGGAGGGACTACTCAAAACAGACTCACAAGGCACGAAAACAAGAAACCGAAATCACCAATAACTCGAAAACAAATCCGCGCCTTGAAACCTCCATTAACAACTCCTCGCGGCGGTGAAAAGAAGGGTGGGGGGGAAAAGAGGGAACATGGAAACTCCATGCTTAAAAAAAAAAACAAAGCTATCGCAATCGAAGCAAATTCAGTCCTCAGGCGACTCCAAAATCAACATCCAACAGGCAAGTTACGCAACATTCTCTTCGCTTCATTCTCTAGACAACGACATCTTGAAGAACCGAAGGCAAGAGTAAAGCACCTGATCGCCCAAAAACAAAAAAAAAAATCAAACTGTCGAGGCGAAAGAAGGGCGCAAGAAACTCTCTCACCTGTCCCGTGGCGACAATCACGGGGTCCCGCATCAGCTCCTTGGAGATCGGGCAGCGGTACTCCTCGGGGCAGGCCAGCGTCCGGAGGGAGAAGGACGACCTCCTCCGCGCCCTCAGCTCCCGCAGCGCGAGCAGGGCATCCCTGGCCTGGTCGATGGCCTCGGCGCCGCACTCCTCGTCGTCGGCGATGATCCTGACCAGCCTATGCAGCTCCTTCTTCAGCTCGGTGGCCCTCGCCGCCCTCGCCGCCGGATCGGCGTCGAACACCCCGGTCTTCGCCATCGCCGGCGTCGCTTCCCGCTGATCGGAACGACCGGGAACGCGCGCCTAGAGAGCGGGGGCGGTGGCGGCGGGAACGGGACCGGCGGGCATCATCCTGGGGTGCAACTTCACCGGCGCCGACGTCCGGGCTCTTCCTTCCTTCCTTCCTTCCTCCTCCTCTTCCTCTTCTTCTTCTTCTTCAGTGAAATCCGGCGCGACGGAGAGAAGAAGGAGAGAAGGAGAACCACCGCACGCACAGCACACTCTCTCTCTCTCTCTCTCTCTCTCTCTCTCTCTATCTCTAGAATTGAAAAATGAGGGAAGTTTTTCTCGCTCTAGAATTTAACAGTCCCACCCTCGTATTTCTAACTCGGGTTTTTTGCCGACGTCATCGCCGGTCGACAGTTGCCCATTTCGTTCGCACCCAATTTTCCCTTCTCCCCTTTTCCTTGAATGGCCCCCCAAAATTAAATACCTAAACTCACCTAAGTTATAAAAAAAATAAAAATAAAAAAAAACATTATTCGAGCATCGAATTTTTTCGCTCTATAACATGGTTCGGCGGAAAAAATCTCTCCCGACTTTCTTCGGTATTAAATTCCGCGACACCTCAAATTCTATATCAGATGGTGAAAGGACGCCGTAGTAATTCGACGCATTGATTGACTTTTCGATGTAGTGCAATTAAGGCCGCGTCTTTAATACCGGTTGAAATTTTACGCGGTCTCAAATGGACGCGTACGTCGCGTAGGATAACGGGGCGAAACAACTCGTTGCTGATTGTGAAAAAAAAAAATATATATATATATATATATATATATATATATTAATAAGAATGTTATTTATGATGGGTACTTCTTCTTCTCGTGTCATGGAAGAAGGCAAGTGGGGTGAGAGTGGGACGGTGGTAAAGGCCTTTTTTCATTTTAGGAAGAAACGCGTTTTACCCATGTTGGAATTTATGGCGCCATTTGTCTTACATGTGAAGATTTCGACTTTTGGCAAACCCCCAAATCGAAAGCGGGAAGTTTTTTTTGTGGCTCTCTCGTTCGCTTAGTCCTTTTGCTCCCTCTTTGATTTTGATGTCAATGCTAAAGCTTGATGGCGACCCCTTTTTTTAAGGTTTGGGAGAGAGAGATTCGTAGGATATCTGAAAACGTAATGCCTGCATGACTGATCTCTCGATAAGGCTTTTCTCGTTGGTCACGATAGGAATCGCGCGATGCTTCGAAAACAGACCAAGTCTTTTTTTCGGTAGGAAGAAAAGATTGTTAAAGAGCGAGTCGATCTTGTTAACCCCGGTTTTTAAATTAATTTGGGATTAGGGGGGGATGAGCTCTTCATGTAGGTGAGAATATCGCGTCAAATTTGATCGCTACACGATGGAGAGTATTCTAGTTTTCTGGGCAGGTAACAACAAAGTGTGAATCTTGGAGTCCACAGTGCAATGGATATTTATCGTTCGAGTCGCTTACTTGTTTCTGCAAGTTATCTTCCCTCTTTACCATTGAAATGCAAGGAAAAAAACAAACCATATAACTTAAAAGTTAGGGATGATCGATATCATGATCGGTAGGTTCCAAACTAAGAATCCAAAACATACTTTGTCAGAGTCGGTTCCCGGTTCTTTCGAGTTGAAAAGCCGAATTGATCGACCTCGAATCTAATCGGGACCAAATCGGTCCGTACCAGGGTCGACTCGAGAACCGGGTCCCCAATTTTTCACTTCGAGTGACGGGGAACTTGTTTTTTTTTTGGTATCTGTCTGGTGAAACAGTTGGGAATCCACGGATTGCTTCAAAAGACAGGGAACCACCGCTGCAAACATGGACTTATTAATAGGGGGAAAAAAGAGAATTTCATTCCAGTAAAGTAATCTCGTAGTCGCAAAATAAAATATAAAATATAGATGATCTGAATTACTTACAAATCTAGTGAAGATAGGGTGTGAACCGCGCACATCATATGATCACAGAATAGAACAGAATAGAATAGAATAAAGGGTTAATATCACGAAAAACTCTAAACTGATATATCCGTGATAAATTTACCCTAAACTATTTTTTTTACTACGAAAAACTCCAAATCGGTAGACCTATGACAATTTTATCTAGAACTATTTTTTTGACTACCGAAAATCTCAAACTGGTACACCTGTGACAATTTTACCTCTGAACTAATTTTTGACCTCCAAAAACTCTAAACTGGTACACCTGTGACAAATATACCATCCGTTAGTTTCCTTTAAATTTTACAATTAAATTGCTAAGTTTAATGATACGTGGTAATTGATAAGTGTACCGATTTTGGGTTTGACCCCTTCATTTGTCACAAGTTTACCAATTTATGATTTTTCGTTATATTAATCCAATTTAACGGACACTAGCGGAGCGTAATTTTGTCACAAATGTACAAGTTTGGGATTTTTAGTGGTCAAAAAATTAGTTCGGATAAAATTATCACAGATGTACCAGTTTGAGATTTTTGGTGATGAAAAAATTAGTTCGGGGTAAAATTGTCGTACGTGTACCAGTTTGCAATTTTCGGTGGTCAAAAAAATAGTTTTGGGTAAATTTATCACAGATGTACCATTTTGAAATTTTTTATGGTAAAAAAAATAGTTTGAGGTAAAATTATCACAAATATATCAGTTTAGGGTTTTTCGTGGTATTAACTTTAGAATAAATAAGTAGAGAAATAAATTTTTTTTTGAAGACTATACAAAAATTTATGAGACATCGAAGGGGAATTGAAAACGGATGAGGGGGGGGGGGACCCACATGGGTCCGGGTCCGTCCCCGTCACGTACGCGATTCGCAGAATCCACGACCGCACAGCTGGCACGCCGCGTGGGACGAAGCTTGAGTGCTACTCCCCCCCTCCCCAAACAAAACGCAAAATAGACAAGTCTCGACACCACCACCTGTACATTTAATTTCTGTCACACCGCATTTAATTATATCGCACTTAAATACATTCAATGCAGAGCCCTCCGATCCCCCCCTCCCTCCCCCTTTAAAAAAAAAAGAAGGAAATTAATTTCCATCGTTTTGGAAAAATAATGCATACAACCATCAATGGAGCGACGTCCATAATGCCCTTTTTTTTTTAACTTATACGATTCATCTCTTCAGAATTTCGATTTTATTCGTAAGAAAAAGAACGAAAGGATAAAATCTCTTAGGAAATGATTACGCGGGAGATCCATAGACACGGGAGGATCTGTGAGATGGTGCCCCTTTTTCTTTTATCATTTTATATTCTTTTCGCATTGCATGGATCGTGGCTCAGGATTAAATTCCAATAATTAAATCGATGAATTTTAATTTGGGGTTTTAGTGGTGGTGGCATTGGCATTGGCATGACAGCAATGCATGTGGGGGGCGGAGTTTGAGTTGGACGTGTCCAGATGTGGGTGAGGTGGGGATAGCGACGCGTGGCGAAACCTTGGGAGATGGAAGGAGTGAGCTGTATCGTACGTACTCACGATTGAAAATTCAGTGGACCCCGATTTCGGACTAGATTGGTCAAACCCATCTCAATCGAAATGCTTGATAAATATGCAACACAAAAAAATATATTTATTTATTTATTTGTGTAAAACGGTGGAAATAGAATTTTCACAATTCACCAGATCTATCCCTACTTTGATTTAACATCGAGAAAGTAAATAAAAAAATTACGGTTCAAGATAGATTTGGGAATGAATCGACCCCGGTTCGAATCCTTTTTTCGATTGATATATTCATCTTTTAGATCACAATTGCACCCTCTTTATATACCTTCAAATTCATCATCGCCCAACTTTACCCGGGTGGCAAAGAGAGGTTTTTTTAATTTTTTATTTTTTTGCTGTCGGTTATTATGCTATTTAGAAAAGAAATAAATAAAAAAAAAGCATGTGACGGAAGAAATAACCGGGTCACACCTAATATTATTTACTTATTCAACTTGAATTTTGACGGTTGTGGTGACACGCGCTCCCTTGCTCATTCTCAAGACTTTCATCCGATATTCGGTATTGACATCGACATGGTCCTCTTGACACCGGCAAAACTCAGAACCGTGTGAGAACGAAAAATCGAATTAAATTAATTGATTAATTAACGAAAGAGAAAGGAAAAGGGAGGAGATTATAGCTAGTGAACCCTTCCTCAGGTGGGCCAATCAAGGGAGATTAAGGACCACAACCCCACCACGAAAGTGGGCCAGAAGAAAAAAGCGGAGATCATCGAAACGACTTTCGAAGAATTGAGCAGGGATTGGTGGAGCAATCGCCCTATTTACTTAGGTTTTTGGCGACTTAAGAAAAGGGCTAATTAGCCAATAATCAAGATCCGCCCCCCCACCAAATGGAGGCAAAAGAGTATATTATTGGAGAAGGCTGTTGTTGACAAAGTCAAACCCACCGCTAATGATGGCCAATTCACCCTTTTGGATTTTCCACGCCCGCTTTTAGGGTTTTGCTACCACAGCAAAGTTGGGCGGTGACCATTTGTGATCTACCACTGACCTAACTTTGATTATTATCTTTTGGCACTAATCCTTTGGATTGCACATGACTTGTCCGTCGCAATTCTTTAAAGTCAGGGAGGAACAAACAAGATTGCTAATTGCTGTTTCACGAGCTTTGCTTTCTTAATTAATGTCGCGAAAGGGTAACTTTTTCGTGGCTTCTTCAGGTTCTGAAATTCGGCATTAGGAGAGATCTAGGGCACCAAATGTTTTCGGATTTGCTAGGTGGGTGTTGAATTAGCTTAAAGGGCTAATGTCCCTTTTCATCAGATAGCCTTAATGTCTATTGAATCGAGGCACTAACTAAAAGTTAGAGAGGGAGTGCTCAAGTGGGGTTTGGCAATTGAGGAGAACAGCTCCGGATTGAAGTCGTGACACCGAGTTGAAAGCAACCCTGAACCTACTTAATTAACTTTTTAATCAGCAGGCCAATTAAGAATTCTTATTGACCACCGACAGAACAGTGTTCGTCCATGTTTAAGATAGGGTATTGATTAAGGTCATTGACAATGATGATGTCTTTTTTTATGCATGAGATGGATAGGGAGAGGTTCCTGTTCCTGTCAATTTTCAATCCATTAAGCAAAACCAGTTATCGGTAATGGATCGGTCAGTCATCTTAGTTAGCGGTATTCGCGGATGGCATGATGATCTGAAAAGGTGTTGTGAAGGATAGGTGCGGTTGTTAATTGTTGGTGAAGAAGTTTCATTGGATCGGGATCTGGGGTACGTCTTTGAGCATCATTTGAGCTTTATCCT